GAACATACATGGAAAATTTCAGCCTCAAATCCATTTGGCCACCAATCAGTTTTTATAGCACGTGACACTCACCAATGGAACTTGGATAAAGCATGTGCAATTTTTGGAAATTGCCTCAAGGACATTGTTCCTCTCAACAACTTGTTGCCTTCAATGTTAGATATTCCTGAGTTCTGACTACAATTTAGAGGCTTGGGACTCCAGCCTCTGCTTCTTCAGAACAAAATTTCCACCAAATGGTCCTTTCCCTTGAGGAGTAGCTGGTAGAGAAGAAAGAAGTCTATCTCTTTCCTAGAGGGTTAAAATTGTTTTGCTAAAGTTCAAAACTAATTTTAATGATCTCTCTCTCCTTAAGCATTTTCTCATTTTGATAGCAAAAATGTTACAGACTTTGATTATCCCTAGCAAATTCTGTTTTCCCCTTCTCTCACTTTGTTTAAAATTATTCATATTCTTTTTTTGCTGTAATTTTCTGTCCCTTTAAGCCCTTAATCTATAGAGGCCTTCTCCACCAAAGGCAATGCTGACAAGTGATAAGGACCCTCTGTAAGGAGGAGTGTCCTGTTTTCAAAAGGACTGCATATCTTGACCACTATTGAACACAAGATGGGATCCTCTTCTAAAGAGTTCTGGGCATGGTTTTTTTGTTTGTTTTTCCCACAGCATCCTTCATGCCATGGACGGTGATCCTCCCCAAATGAAAGTCTGGTTCAAACCCTTCATCGTCTTTCCAACTGCCTTGGCCCATGGAAATTCCATGCCATGGCCCACAACAAATGGAACTTCACTGCCTTCACTGCTTCTCACACCATATGCTGTAGCCACACAGATTCTTGTAGTTCCTCCAAACTGCCAGGATGTCTCAAGGGCCAGGACATCGCTGACCCTGCTGACTCTGTACCTAAATGTCCACATGGTTGGCCGGGTGAAACCCTAGACTTCCTTCAAGGTGGGTTCAGAAAACCTCTCCATGAGGTCTTTCCACCTCCTCCTTTTTCAGACAGAACTGACCACTGTCTCCTGTGCCCTCACTTCACCATCCCCTAAAATACTTCATTACACTTAGATTAAATTTTTACCTCTTGACTAAGCTGGAATTTCCTTGATGGAAAGACCATGAATTATTTATTAATTCATTGTATTTCCTAGTACAAAAGAGACAAGCCTACACACTCTTGTAAATAAACGAACAAGAGAATAAATACCCAAGGTGCCTAGGAACCATTGTCGGCTGAAGAAAATGCACAACCTAAAAGTTGAGAATTATGTTTTATTCGGCGGAATTTCTGAGGACTTAAGCCCAGAAGACAGCCTTTCAGGTCGCTCTGAGGGACTGCTCCGAAGAGGTAAAGGAAGAGCCAAGATATGTAGCAGTTTTACAGTAAAAACCAAGTAGTCAGAATATCAAAAGATTACTGTTAATTAAAGAAAACCAGACACCTCAAGTTAATAAATTTAGTGCTTCTCCACGTGTGGGAAGATGCAAGAGTCAGGGCCCATTGAAATCATTCCTTTGATCTGTCCCTTAACTGTCTAGGGCCAGTAGCCCGCTTTCCTCCATCCTGAATCCCCTCAGGGTGCACAGTCTGGGGCAGCTGCAGTGGCTGACAGCTTGCTGCCTGCAATATCCTTTGTTTACTGATATGGCAGGTGACTTTTTTCATCCACACCATCAAGGCCTATGGAACACATCTGGATTCTAACAGTCTATCATAAGATTTCATTGAGCTTTACCACACCATGCCAAGCACTGGGAACTTTGCGGAGTTTTTAGTCTAAATCTAAGTAGGGGAGATCAGAGAAGATCTCCCAATATTATGCAACAACCTAAATGGGAAAACAGTTTGAAAAAGAATAGATATATGTATATGTATAACTGAATCACTTTGCTGTACACGTGAAACTACCACAACATTGTTAATCAACTATACTCCAATATAAAATTAAAAGTTTAAAAAAAAGAGAAAGAAAGAAAATGGCCTTGAACTGGGACCTGAAAAGCAGATAACTAGGCAAGTTAGGGCCACGAGAGGATATTTCAGGCAAAGGGAAGAATAGGCACACAAGGTCTGGGCATGGAGAAGAGTACGGCTCATTTGAGGAACCAAGAGATGACAGCATGGCTGGACCACAAGAGGAAATTGGAGTGGCAAGCAATGAGGATGGGGAGACGGGGGGCTGGGTCACGCAGGGTCTTGAGGGTGTTCGCAAACAGGAGGGGGCACTGTCCCATAGACAGAACACACCTCCCTAACTAACCCCTGCAAATCCTGACTCAGACAGTCAGGAAGCCTGGAGGAGGGCCATCTTTGCACTCAATCAAAACTCCTAGGGCTTCCCTGGTGGCACAGTGGTTGAGAGTCTGCCTGCTGATGCAGGGGATGCGGGTTCGTGCCCCAGTCCGGGAAGATCCCACATGCCGCACGGAGCGGCTGGGCCCGTGAGCCATGGCCACTGAGCCTGCGCGTCCGGAGCCTGTGCTCCGCAACAGGAGAGGCCACAACAGTGAGAGGCCCACGTACCGCAAAAAACAAACAAACAAACAAAACTCCTAGATGGCTTCAGTTAAACTTTTAACTTTTTAACTCATTTACCACTTAAAAACTTTAAATTTGGTATGGTTTTGTTTTTTCACTTCGGGATTTCTTTTCTTCTAGTTGTAAAATTGTGTGTGATCGAAATCTCAAAAATATTTTGTTGGTCTTCTGTAGATGCAGGTTTCCACTATCCTTACACTCATTCTGTGCATGCCACTTTGTCATGTGACTTGTTTAATTCATTGTTATGTTCATTTTAGATGCAATCTGGAAACTCACTTATGTGTTTCTTTATAAGAAATTGGCCAAACAATACATTGCTGTATGTCAATTATATCTCAATAAAACTGGAAGAAAAATTTTTAAACCAGAAAAGAAACTGGCCAAACATTTACAATTGTTAGTATTTCACCGAATACCTATTATGTACAGAGCCCTGTTCTAGTGCTGAGGAATTCAAAATGTGCCAGCCCTGGGATCTAGGAGCCCAGGACACTTGTTTCAGAAAAGCTCATTGGTATCCACAAGGGGTTATAAACGTGTGCCCTAAATGTGAATGAATGACACTGAACTGAAAGATGTAAAGAAGATGTAACACTAACTAAGAGAAATAGATGATTTTTCTTCTAACAGAAAAGAATCTGAAAAAGAATAGATGGATATATGTGTAACTGAATTCCTTTGCTGGATACTTAAAACATTTAAAATCAAGTATACAACAATTTAAAAAACACTCTTCTTCTTATATTATCTTTTACACCACCATCCCTGAATGTTGAAGGATAACTTAGAGATACAAGTTATTTGTCACACCATTTGCCTAATTTGTGTGGCAACTGTTTACATTACAAGTAATGAATCAAGCAGTATGACAAGTCAAGGAACAAGGTGAAAATAGGATTTATAGGAGAGGAGAAAATATTTCAGACAGTGTGGGTTCTTGCCTGAACAATTTGAAGGTGAACTGAGTAGCTGGCAGCTGGTAGAAAGAGGCAGGCCTTGGAAATCTGTCTTTCAGTAAACTGAGCAGAAGTGCCAAAGGCATTTTCAGTTCTTTGTGGATTCTCCAGGAAATCTTGAGCACTCAGCTGAGAAGCTAGGGTGATGCTGTCCTGAGAAGTGTCTGCAGGGGTCCTTCCACCCCCATACCATCATACTTGGGTACCAGTTCCTTCACTAAAGTGTCTCAAAAGAATGAGCAGAGATACCTCTGCAGAGTTTAGTGCACTGATGTTTGTCTCAGAATGGTATTAACTCTCATAAGAGTAAAAATAATATGAATGTTCAAAGTCAGAGATTCATAAATAAACTACAGTATTCATACAATGGAATACTATGCAGTCATTAAAAATCTTGTAATAGAAGAGTATTCAAAATATAGGGTATATGTTCATGGTATATATGTTTTAAATGCTACTTACATATTTAAACACAATTATTCCATATTTAGATGCAATAGCTAAAAGTTCAGATGATTATATACCAAGATGTTTAAAGTATCTGTCTCTGGGTGGTGGAATGATAGATGAATTTTGTATTTTTCTTTGCCCTTTCTTGTATTTTCCAAGTTTAATTTATTCAATCTATTGCTTTTACAATAAAAAATCTTCTTTAATTTATAAAACTTCATAAAAGAATTTATAAATTTATAAAACTTATTTTAAAATAAATGGATAATTGCTTAATTATAAAAACCAATTTATTATGTATTCAATGAGATCTTAAACGATACATGAGAATACATGTTCTGTATTTGTATTTGTGTGCATATATGTTTGGGGTAAAGAATAACCATGACCTAGAATTCATTACATCACTTGGTTATCTGGATCCTTAGCCAGTAATCTTAGATCAGAGCCAGCATTTCCTACAATTCTATTAGAGCTCGGAAATTCTACTTTTGAAAGAGAGAATGGATGGAGAACCTTAGAACTGACTCATCCTCTATCAAGCTAGAAGAAAACTAAATTTAATAGTGTCTTTGTTTTAGTTTTTACTGGGGAAATAGGATCGTACTGGGGAGGTGGAGGCATGGGGCAGAACTTCAGTCTTTGTATAACTGCCGTGAGTCTCCGTCTTTCTTTAACATGGACAGTTTTCCAAAGTTATGTAAAATGGTATGCAGACGCAGCTTCAAGTCGCCCCCCTTACAAGATCAATAATAATAGCCAAGCTGAATGTAACGTCCATTACATGCCAAGTACTGTACTAACTGATGAGTGTGTGAATACACACACATATATATATTTAACTTAGTCCTCACAATGTCATTTTGAGGCAGGTATTATCATTTTACAGATGAGGAAATCAAGGCTCACTTTCCTCCTCTGTAAGGCCCTGTGATGTACAAATTCTGGAGCTGCCATTGGGAGAGATGTGGGATAAATTTGTCTTTTGTGACACGCTCTCTGGTCCACTCATCGCCTCATTCTTGATTCCTTTCTCAATTTCTCTCTTGTACAGCTTCGCTTTCCACCGACGGCTCAATATCAACCACTCCTAGTGGTCCAAAGAAAACCCCTCCTAGTACGCCTGTACCTACTACAGAAAAGGAAGAAGGTTTGTTCATATTTTAAAGCAGTTGCTCTGGAGTCATTGTTATGGTGCAACTCTATTTAATGGGACCTACCACTGTGGGGAAACTGTGACAAAGACTGAGAAATGGAAGCAAAGTAGACACAGTCCCTCCCACAGAGGAATTCTCACTTCTGGACTGTCACACTGAAAAAATACTGTGGGTTAAAACAATTAAAACAATCTAGCAAAACACATAAACAACGAATGTGACCATGAAATAGTGGGCCAGATAAAAGGGATCCAGTAGTGCAGTGGTGAGGGGGGGGCTTGTGGTTAAACCCAGCTGGACTCAGCGAAGGGCTTGGCCCTGTCCCAGGTGCTGACCCTGAGTGAGTTGAACCCTGAGTTCCCCAAAGGGGCCTCTGTCTTCTTAATTTTAAAGTGGGACTCATTATACTTATCTCACAGTGTTCTCTAAGGATTAAATAAGAAAATGTGTGTAAAATTGCTTGGCTCAGAGCCTGGCACATCATAAGCGCCCAGTAAAATATAAGCCATCTGGGTGCTGAGATAAGAACGGTCAGGTGGCATTCACTCTCTCTCTGGTTATTTTTCTAGGGAGAAGAAGATGACTTTACAAGAGCAGGTTGAAAGTAGAAGGGGAGAGGGTCTTTTGTAGGTGGGGTTTAGGCAGGGTCCTCTGGATTTAAAATAAAGCCTCAAAGAAGACTTAGCGTGGCTACCGGATCATTAGCTAATAGAATCATTGAAAAAATACACTGAGATAAATAGAAGCAATGGATTTTCAGAAGGACAGAGAGCAAGAGAGGAAAATTAGGCTGAGTGCTTGGAACTAATTATTAGGTTTCTGGGTCCAGTTAAACAATCTAATTTTCAAAGTGATTGCAGTGTGAAGCCAACATGTTAGTGTCAAACCAGAAAGCATTGATGGGTCAACTCCAGACACACACGGTGCTACATGCCTTGAATCCTATGAATAAAGAATGGCATGGTGGGTGGGGCATTGTACTAAGTGTTTTCATGCATTAGTTGGTCTTATCCTCATAGGAACTCAAAGAGATGGGTATTATAATCTTCATTTGCCAAGAGAATACTGAAGCACAGAGAAACTAAGTAACTTAGCAAGGCCACACAATGAGTAAGAGGCATACAGATGACTGAAACCCTATCTGTTTTATTCCAGAGCTCATACACCAGCCACCACTATCAACTGCCACAAAGATAGAGAAGACAAGCCCAGTTAACCTTTATGCATAAGTGCTAAAGAATGACCAAATATAACCAAGTCTTTGATTTGTATGTCATACAACATAGTGTGATATGTTATTCATAATATTTAAATTCAAGAAAATTGTGTGGCTACAGTAGTAAGGCAGCTTCTTGACATGAAATGACATTTGGAGACAGCAGAAAAAGAAATATTAGCTGTGGACTGATAAGGGGGAGGTTAACTCCAGCGGAGCCTTAAAGCAACCGTATTAGAAACTTCTACAGAAAGGGAATCCAGTGGGACTGCTGGCAAAAACTTAGCTGAGACACAGTAAGGGTTTGGATCCTCATGGTGGCTGTGGCATAAATCTGGAAAATTGATAGCAACATGGCCTCTTTTGGGGTTGGACTGATGTCCATGCAGGATGATGGGTCAATGTGTCTCCTTTCTGATCACCGTTTTTACATTTTTTAAAAATGCACTGCTTCTTGTGGAAGTCCACGGATGGTTCTTCCAACACTTTTTCACACCCTTCCCTTTAGTTCATGAGATGGTTTACTAATTTCTGATTCATGAAAACTTGTTGGGTAGTTGAAAGTAGATATTGGAATTACTAATGTTAAGACTGACATTACCTCATACATTTTACTAGCTCACTGCTGAAAGTTGAACATTAGCTCTCTAAGCACAGTTAAGAAAAAGAAATCCACTAGACAGTCTGATTCCAAAATGGTATTTTTAAAACATGCCTTATGTTTTCTAACTTTATTTTGAAACGCTATCCTTTTAGCCGCAAGACAAAGATATCCACACAATTTCTCACAACCAGGTATGGTAATATTTGACGTGGAATGATGATCATTCCATTTAAAATTTTGTTTTGCTAGTTTTAAATGCCTATGAAAATAGAAATGTCAATTTTATTTTCTATGTTTATTTTCTTTCTTTTTTTGCTGTTTTTTTAATTGAAGTATAATTGCTGTACGATATTATATAAGTTACAGGTGTACTATATAGTGATTCACAATTTTTAAAAGTCATACTCCATTTATAGTTATTGTAAAATATTGGCTATATTCCCTGTGCTGTACAGTATATCCTGGTAGCTTATTTTATACATGATAGTTTGTACCTCTTACTCTCCTACCCCAATATTGACTGTCCTCCTTCCCTCTCCCCACTGGTAACCACTAGTTTATTTTAAAAAACAAGAGAGTATATGTTATTGACTTTAGTCACACAAAATTATAAAGGCAAACAAAATATGCTCTTTTCAAAATTAAAATAGGCATCTATAATTTCCTTAAACATTTTGGAAACAGCAATACATAATTTGATCATCATTTTTCTTTTAAGTTAGGTATTTTTTTAGCTTTCTAAGTAACTATGGGTACTTGAGAAAAGTCTAGAGCTTACAAAACACTGGAACTTCTCCCCTCCCTACTATAAAGAAAGCAAGGGGCTTAAAAATCACCTACTTAATTGGCACCAATCCAGAATAAATACAGACCATTCGTGTCTCCATCCGGATTTGTTCTGGGCCCTGTGCTACCAATTTGGAGCTATCTTCCCAATCCTCTCTAACTGGGGACTGTCGCTTCCCCACTTAGGTGCTGCTGTCGCTTTGGCTCTGGTTCATTTATGTGCTTATTTCCTACTCTGCATCTCTAGGCCTCCCTTCCCACTTGGCCTGTGTCCATACTCACACCAGAAAAATGGATTGTATAACTGAGTCACTATCCCATAAATTAAAGCTAAGTGGAGAAGAAGGCTGGACAATACCAGTGATAGGAAAAGCCACTTTTACTTTTTTACCAGTAATAAGGCTTTTAAATATAAACTAGCCAAATAAATATGCTCTTTTCCCTGTATGCCTTGCCCTCAGTTCTATATACTTCATTTGGAAGCACTGCAAATATGCCGTGAATATGTGAGAGTACCTCTAACTTAAATTCTGTTTCACTCCCAACGTGTAAAAGATTTGAAAAAGATGTTTAGTGATTTTATTATAGACTACACATAAGGATACTGTAGAGGGAACAGAGGCTTAGAATATAGGTGAGCTGGATAGTAGTTACCAGTCTACTTCTAACTAGTTATCTCACCTAGTGTAACTTGAACTCATTAGACTTCTTTTCCTTTTATAACGTGATTATACCAGGTTCCTTCCAAATTTTTGATTCTATGATCTGTCCAATACTCTTTTATACATCAAGACATTATTTTCTCCCATATCACTGAAACTATGAAAGAGTCTGTGGTTTCTCCCTTATTGGGTAGAAGGTCCACATAGCTCTTATCCGTAATTAAACCTCTGGGGTCCTATAAACTCCACCGGACTTGGAGTTGAAACCCCTGGGTCTTGGTACTGTCGTTAGTTGTGTGACCTTGGACAAAAGATTTTACCACTTAAAGTCCCAGTTTCCCACGTGGTTACTGTGAAAAACCTAATTTTTGAAAAACTAAAATATACATAAAAGTTTATTAATGTACTTTCTATAAAAAAGACAAAGTGATATTACCCTGATTTTACCTGCTTTACTTTTCAATTGCTACGTCATTTACTTCACACTTTTGTAATTTGCTGCTTTATTTTTCTCTCACAGTAATAACAGTCATTATTTATTCTGTGATGGCTGTTATCATTGGAATTATCCTCATAAGTGCTCAGCTTATTGGCCTGCTGATAAAGGTGAGGACTCAGTTTTTAATTTTGCTGTAAATGCTGGTGTAAATTTTAAGCTCTAGGAGGGTTTAGTCCTCTGCGTTCAACTAAACTCAAAGAGAAACAAAACTGCGTAAAACTCATCTTTTTCAACTGGACACATAGAAGTCACTGCATTACTCTAACAGAATTTTTTTTTTTCACACTTGCCCTATAAAGAAACCCCCAATATAAATCTATCCCCCTCTTCCAATGAAAGATCCTCCAAACTTTTTGTCTAACTTGATTTAATATATTTTGATGGATATGGATGAAATAGTCAAATTTCTAATTATAGTATCTAGTTTAATTTGTGTATGAAAAATATTTAAAATAACATGATATATTTATGCATGTTTAAAACGTTTGCTTTTTTTAATTCTCGTATTTCCTGAGACAGATTTTTCAAACTCCACCTATGACTCTTCCAGCATGAGTCATTTTTTTTCACCCCTAAAATTAATTTTGAGTCTGTATGACAGAGTCCAAAGCACACGACCTTTACTGTAACTTTCTTTATAAGACAGTTCGGTGTGTGTGATTATAATGCTAGTAATTGGAACTATAATCATAGATCATTAAGTCCCTAGTCACAAAAGAATGGTACAATTGAGTTCTTATTCACACTATTTTTTACCTCTCTTTGTGATCTCCATACTATAAATACTATATATTCTTTTAAAAAGGCTTGTTTAGATAGATAACAATATTGCAATGGCAGGCCTATAACAAGTTTGACAATAAATCTACATAAAGTTCCTTTGCCCTTTTCTTTTTTAACTATTTTTATTAGGTGATTTTGATAATCATACAAATCTATGATTGATTAGCATGACTCCATGTCAACGTATCTTCTCTAAATAATACTTTCTTAATAAAAGCAAAGTAATTGAGAGTATCTACTCTAATATGAAAGATTTTGTAACGACTTGAATGGGAGATGACCCCTCGTTTGCAGTTTAAATGTTGGGGAAAAAGTAATCTCCTTGGGTTTGGGCATAGATGGCAAACTTAAACTTAGTTGTCTTCTCTCTTGGTTGATGATCTAAAATCTGAAAAAGTCAATGACATACTTAGTTGGCCAAATTCAGAGAAAATCTATATGGATATAGAAGAATTGGGTCATGGTTAATATGACTAAAAGAACTTATCTCTTTTTTAAAAATTTCCATTTTGGCTTTTCATTACAGCAGGGAAATATGACAGAGTCAAGGTTTGGGGTAATAATTCACCTACAGAAATAACAAATACTGTTTAGAAATACAAATACAAGTTTAAATCAAAGTTTGTAAATATCTACAAAATAACGACTTCTCCCACAAAAGAACTCTGCAAAGTGAAGTTTAATCGAAAGAAAACAAACTTTAGCCAAAAAAATACATATTTTTAATCTGAGGTATTTTTCTTTATTGTATCTAAGTTTATAAAACTGTGGTATTAACATTATTCTGGTTTTTATTCATAGAGAAATCCAACTCTTGGAACAAGCGATCCTTTAACTTCTGTAAAAATAGGAGAAACAGGTTGGTGCTAATATTTTTATTGCCTTTTGTGTTTTTGAAAGGGAAGTAAGTTAATGACTTACTTCTTTCTGAGTTAGGAAGGGTGCATCCAATTAGCATTCATTTATATTCTATTTTATCAATGCCTCCTCTGTAAGAATTTTTTTTGTGAATGTTTATCTGCAGCATAATGAAATTCTCCCTTAGGCATAATGTATCTTTAAAAAAGAAAAAAGTAAAACAAATATGATAAGTAAAGTAAAAACCAAGTTATTTGTGTACTTCTTATTTTTCAAACTGCAAAGTTGTGTATAGGAGACCCTCCAGTGGGTATAGTTTAATAGTCCCGTATCTGGAGCCAGACCTGGATTTGAATACATACTCCAACACTTATCAGCTGTGTAATAGCTATCAGCTGAGCCAGCTATTCATGTGGAGATGATGATAGTGAATGTGGAGATAATTTAACATGGACATGATGATGGCCTTCATCTCACAGAGTTTCATGAGGATTAAATGAACCAGCACAAGTAAAGCACCTAGAACAGTGCTTGGCCATAGTAAGTACCTATGGCCTGTTTATATTATAAATAGTGCAGGCTTCATTTCCAAATGACTTTTGCACAAATGGCCAGTCACTTGGCTCTGTTCTCATTTCCACTCCCAGGCGCAAAGGGGGACACGAACATGGGGAAAATGGTGTATCTTGCTCACCCAGAATAGTATCAACTCACCCAATACTCTTTCCAAAAAGAGCACTCATGCCAACCTTAAAAAGTGTGAGATTTTTACATTTAAAAACATCCAGATATTAGTACTCTCTTGCAGAAAAGAAAAAAAAGTAAACTCTAACAATGCTGGAGCATCCATACCAGCATGAGAGCAATTCATAAGAGCTGTGTAGTAGTTGCTGCCTCTATGTGTTTAAATACCCAGCCAATTTTATTAAATATGGCCTGTTGTATAATCTCACTAATTGAGTATATAGTTCTATTAAAATTTGCTTCAGACATAAATGCAAGTGACATCTATTTGGGGATATGTCCACCAAGAACAAGTCTCTGTGGAACGGGCTTTTTTTTTTTTTGCGGTACGCGGGCCTCTCACTGTTGTGGCGTCTCCCATTGCGGAGCACAGGCTCCAGACGCGCCGGCTCAGCGGCCATGACTCACAGGCCCGCGGCATGTGGGACCTTCCCAGACCGGGGCATGAACCCGTGTCCCTACATCGGCAGGCGGACTCTCAACCACTGCGCCACCAGGGAAGCCCTGGAATGGGCTTTAAATGCTCAAGCAAAAGGGAACTGATTCTGCCTTCTACAAAATCGATTGAAGTTTTTCCCAGAATTAACAAGGGCTGTAAATTTCTAGATTCCAGTTTCAACCCTATACCTAACACCTATCTTCAAAGGACTTGCTAGGACTTTGGGGTCACAAAAAATAGAGAGTTTTAAACTTCTACCCCCAACCACATAACCTGTATGCAGAACTAGCCTCATCACATTATCTTATAGCTTCTTAAAGCTTAACGATTCTCGTTACATAATTGTTTAGTCCTAGGAAATTCATGCTCGGTAGGCTGAATGGCCTACATGTAATTCTCAGCTAACAGGATTAATAAAACCCAATCTGCAGATACTTAAAACAACAAAAGTTTTGAGTCATGTAACAGATTCACTTCATTTACTACGGTTACTTCCTTATAGGATTTGCAGCTAGAACAAATATGCGTTAAGTATTTATTTTATCTACATTCTGCATTGTTTAAAAAAAATGTTTTGAAGCTGATTTTAAAATGGAGAATTTGCCAGTCAAAACCTTTTTTGTTGTTGTTGTTACCTAAATTTCTATATGCTTTTAACTACTGATTTATTTTGATGACAAATTTAGTGTTTAGTGTTTTGTCTGCTTTTTTTTTTCTTTTTTTTTCCCATACAATCTTGAGCCTCTCTGTGGAATAGCCCACAAAAGTTTGGGACAATTTAATCCATCAAAGTGCATTAATATATCCTTGTTAGTTATTTACCACATGCTTACTGTGGGCTGGGCACCACACTCGCATTAGATATACCAATAGGAATCTCTGTCCTCTAGAAGCTGAGAATCTAGTTGGGGAAACAGACTGTGGTCATTGTAGGGAACAAGTTTTAAGGTAGCAGAGGCGTTAGCATCTAAAAAAGGCCGGGGCAGGTAGCAAAAGCTTCTGGAAATGAAATCACCAGAGGGCAGTCTTAGGGGACAGAGAAACATTTCTGGGGGAAAGTCAGTTCTAAGCAAAAGGGGAGCTTGAGCAAAAGCATAAAAGAAGACAGGATATGGTGTAGTCAAGGAATTGGGTGCATTTCAACACTAGCAAGATTAATGCCTCAGTTCGCCATTCATTTCTCAAATATTTGTAAAGGCAATGGGAAGTCAGATGAATCAGATTTTAGGCTCAATTCATTTCCCCATATTTGTGCAAATGAAGTTATTAAATGTGTCTTAGTAAGTTAATGAAATTGTTACTGGAGAGTAGAATCTTGTCTCATCGCAGAAAGAATTCAGATACGAGACACGGAGGTCAAGAAAATAAAGTGAGGATTTATTAAGCGATAGTGTGCTATCAAGGGGAGAGCGGGCAGACTCAGGTGAGTAGCTGCCCTGAATTCCTTTAGCAATCCGGTTATATGGGTACAAAAATGAATAGGCAGAATATTCACTGGGGAGGGAAAAGTTTGGGGTTGTATTCCCTGATTTTCATCCCAGCTCCACCCTTCCAAGGAGAGGAGAGATTTTTGTCCTTATTTAGCCTTGATCAAAAGTGTCACAGCATCGGTGCATGATGGCAACATTTTATCTGCAAGGCTAATTTTATTATAATGAGGGCATAATGAGCAAAAGGTTACATTTGGACACTGGAGATTCCTGACTTTTCCCACCTTTCTTTGTCTGCCTCCTGGACACTTGTTACCCCAAAATGTGTGGTTTCCTGTCGGTCCTGGGTTTTTTTGTCTGCCCAAAGACCCCCTTGTTTACAAGCTGTATGGTTTCCTGCCGTTTGGCCTGTGCTTCCCTTTCTCTTCTCTTATCTAGCTATCTGTCTGCTCTAACAAAATAGGTTATAAAATCTAATCCCCACACCTCACAGGAAATTTTGGGAAACACATAAGATTCCAAAAAAATGTTTTAGCCCTATTTTTGTAGAATACTGCTCTAAAGTAACTTACAAGTCAAAGGCAATAAGAGATTACAGTGATCGTACCATCTCAATGAGAACTAGAAATGGTAGGGTATAAAGCATGAATTGCTTTAACCTTCTTGAACTTGCACACGATTAATGGTTGGTGGGAAATGAGAATAAGTGAATCTGAGTTAGCTGCCCACAGTGGCGGCCACATGTGACCCCTGCCAGCCCATTTTTTATGGGAGAATTTTGAGCTGCACAGTTCCTATAATTCCCCAATAGAAGGAAACTGTGAAGAATGCTCTGCTTCCATAACAGCAAAAGTTCATCCCATCCCTTTCGCACAGTCTGCGGAAGTAACATAAATCCAACCTACCAGCCAAGAAAGTTGGAATATCAGATTTGGTGCAGGAGATCAGCCCTTCTTTCACATGCTAGAATCAGAGAGGAATCTAGCAGTGAGTTTCTGTACAGACTTGCCCTTGCTTATGTCTAAGAAAAAAAAATTATTCCTAAAAGAGATTACAGACTACTTGTCTTAAATTCAAACACACATCTGTAATTCAACTCACTTATCATTTACGGCCTTCCCACCATATTCTACCCCTACACAAGTTCTCTCTTAGTTGCTCATCTCTGCAGAAACTAGAAACAGAGTGATTATGTTTGTTCCTTACCTAAGGTTTTTACAATAGATTTCCTAAGAAATTTTTTTTCATTACACATAACTCTAATAGAGCTAATATGAAAAGAAATTCCTTTCATTCCTTAACAATTGTATTCCAGGACAACTCTGATAGAATATAGAATCCTGAAATTTTTTTATGCATTAATTTCCTGTTGTATTTAAATATAACTATGTTTTATACTACTGTTTTGTTTTGTTTTTCTCTATAATCCTTCTACAGTATAGTAACCGATGAGAATCTGTTCACCAAGCCAAATTTTGGAAGAACTCAAAGACAAGACTTCAGTCAAGTGAAAAATAAACATGTAAATTTTGGTCAAGTGAAAAATGAGCATGTAAAAAAAACCCAATAAATTGTATACCTTCCAAAGTTGTACAATTTCAGGATGAAAATTTCATTGTAATGAGTCCAGTGACAAATATTTTCTTTCATGCTTGTTTTTGTGTGTTAGCATAATTTTTATAATTAAGTAACTTGGAATTCTTATCCAAAACTTTAGTTGGCTTCGTCCACAATTCTTTAAGACTGACATTCTATTCTTTTGTATTTTAATGATTGTGCTGTCAAATGAAAGGCTTGTAACATCTAGATAAAATCTAAGTTCTCTTCTCATTCTAAACTTCCAAGTCTATTTTCATTGTTTTGAATAAATTAAGAGGATAGCGAAATGCTATTATTTCCTTCATTGCTGAACAGGCAGGGTATGTATTACACTAATGATGATGATGTTTTAGTCACACTAATAAAGCTTGTGCTTGGAAATGCCTTGCATCATACATACATACATACACATATACATACATACACATATGTACATATACATAAAGATATGGACATAGATATAGATGTATGAAATGACACCTACTTTCATCCTATAATGCATAAATCAACACAAAAGATTTTTCCCATTAAAAAAGTGAGGTGTTACACATGTGTAAATGGCTCATTTAAAATAACTGTCTGATAGTCTAGAGCATTAACTCGTTCAGGGCACTGACTGATGCATTGTGGTCGACTGGGAGAGTTAGTTATGTCAGTGGGCAGAGTATCCTGAGAAAGAATTAATGATTTTTTCTTCCTAATAACTCTGTAAATGCAACAAAATGTGCAAATTTAACATGCAGGTAAATATATTAAAAGGTTACTCTGTATTGTCAATTAAATTCTTTAATCTGTCCAGTCCTGGTTTCTCTTATTAGTAAAGTTTTGGAAACTGGTTTAAATAATCTAAAAGAAATTTCTGGATACAAGAGACTAAGCCTTTGTGACTATACAGTTATCACTCATTTACAGTAAAACTTGAAAAGCAATGTAAAAACAAAGTACCTTCTTGTGATGTTCTATTTCCAGATGAACAAAAATCCATATAGCTTTTCATTGTTGTATAATAATTAAGTAAATAATATTATGTACATATTTGAGCCTGGGAATGTAGATTTACTTTTTAATAAGTTAAAAAAATCTAAATCTTAACCTACTTGTATGTTCAGAGAGTATTCTTGTACTAAATTGATTATATAAAAATAAAGAATAAGAACAACATATTTCTGTTGGTATATGTATTTAAAAGTAGTTTTAACAGTATTATTGGGTTAAATTAATCAAAAGAATGACCCAAGCATCAAGCCAACTTTAAATGTATTTTTTAAATAAAAACAAAATGTTGAACCAAGAGAGAACATGAGACTAACCTTGTCTCTAAAGTAATTTACGACTCAAAGGCAATAAGTGATCAGAGTGACTGTGTCATCTCTACCAGGGCAAGAGAGTCCAGAGAATAACTGAAATAGGAATTGCTTTAACCTCCTTCAACTTTTCCTCAATTTCTCTGTACTTCTATCAAAGGATTTTTCACATTTAAATTTAATATTTGTGGGGAAAAAAATGACCTTTACTCTTCATATTTTTATAATTAAATCATCATAAGATTATAGAAAAGAAATCTTACCTATGAGGTCATCATGCCCCTATGAATGATTCACTTAGAATTTTTTAAACTTTGGGACTGGAGTGGGGGTGGGAGGGAAGCTGATTAGAAAACGTCATCCTTCAGGCCTGGGTGTTTGTTTGCCTAAGTGTGAGCAAAGGGTCTACAGTAGGGAGAAAATGAATGGAGAAAGGGGAGAGATGCTTGAAGGCAGAACATGGGGAGGCGAGGAATGACGTGGTTAAAGGGTTATTGTAATGATACCCATAATAGTAATTGAGGGAGAGCCTTCCGATTTATTCTAAGCATTTGTCTTATCAAATTTTGCAAATTTCATACAAGAAACTCCTAAGAGCCAAATGTCACTTAAACAAAAATCAGTACAAAATTCTGCCCAGTATCATGCATAAGCCTCTTATTATGTCAACACAGTTCTAATGAATCTGTGTTCTCAGCTCTATTTAGCTGGACTATGTCTACTGGCAACTGATAAAAGATTTTCAGCCTCTAGCTTTAAACAAGTGCTCTGAATTCTCATGTGTTGCTTGTACTATTATTTGGGTTCCATCCCCTACTTAACTGGGTGTCACTGAAAGCAGGAACTTTTCATTCGTTTTTGTAATTCCTGTGAGGCTTGATAAAACTCGCTTCTTATTTCATGACGCTTTTCTTAATATTTAAAATGCCATTATACATAGTGATATCTTGAAAGTTTCACATGGCATGATATGGAAAGAGAATCGATCTTGGAGCCAGAGTTTGAACCCTTGCTTATTTATTCACATAATTTCTGTTTCCTTATCTGTAATGTGAGGATGAGAATAACTACCTTGCAAAAATGTCTTGAGATTTATTCAAAATGAAGTGCATAGGGTGGTCAGCACCAAGGGAGCGCTTGTGTCCTCTGAACACTACAGAAGTCTGACTCTCACTTGGGAATCTGAACAATAGATGCCCCAGTCCTGCTCCGACAGTGCAGCCAGGACAGGTAGTGATGCTGGGGACGACAAGCATTCCTAAATTTGGTGGGGAGGGGCCAATGGGAAAAAGACTTTCCTATGGGCTTTCTATGGGTTCTGGGTTGTGGGGGACTGTTGGGCATATCGGACATGAATTCCTAGAGGAGGGACTAGCTTTAAATAGAAAGTAGAAGTGCTGCCAGATACCTTAGGACTGGAGAAGACGGAGACAACCAACTGAGACAAAGATGGATTTACAGAAGCCAAGAGAATAGCAGGTGAGCGGTCCCCAGTGATGGGAACGTTTTGCAGAACCCACAAAAGCACCTACAAAAGAAAGATTTGAATGGAAATCTCTGCCAAGAGTAGAAAGCTGGGCCGCTGTGAAGATATTGGTCTAGTCAGAACTTTCCTACCCCCTTACCCAATTTTCCCCTTACTGTGTTCGTATGGGAGAGGGGTCAGAAACTTTGGGTAGCAAGATGCAGGAAGAGGAGTGAAAGCTCTAGGTGGGGTGAGGGAAGGAATTTGACCATCTCTTTCCTGATCTTAGGTGGGAGAAGGAGTAAAAATATTAATTTAAAATCAGAATGGAAATTTTGATTATTGCATTGGTATAAATTAAAAAAAATTTTTTTTAGTTTTTGTACAATTTTTAAAGGTTACCCTCCATTTACAGTTGTTAGAAAATATTGGCTGTACTCCTCATGCTGTACAATATATCCCTGTAGCCTATCTTACACCCAATAGTTAGTATCTCCCACTCCCCCACCCTTATATTGCCCCTCCCCCACACCGATAACCACTATTTTCTTCTATCTGTGAGTCTGCTTCTCTTTTTTTGGTGTATTCACTAGTCTGTTGTATTTTTTAGATTCCACATATAAGTGATATCATATAGTATCTGTCTTTCTCTGTCCAACTTATTTCAAAGTCCATCCATGTTGCTGCAAATGGCAAAGTTTTGTTCTTTTTTATGGCTGAATAGTGTTCCATTGTATATATACACCACATCTTCTTTATCCATTCATCTACTGATGGACACTTAGTTCACTTCCATATCTTAGTGATTGTAAATAATGTTACTATGAACACTGGGGTGCATGTATCTTTTTGAATTAGTGTTTCTGTTTTTTTCGGATATATACCTAGTAGTGGAATTGCTGGGTCGTATGGTATAGATATTTTAATTACTAACTGGAGGACTATTTGTATTACTTAATAGTGACCAGAATAGTAATGGAGTCTACCCAGGTTTTGACAGAAGAACAGCAGAAGAACCAGTTCCACAGAATACATTTTAAATGACACAGGAGACATAACTAAAGTTATTTTTAATTTTCTTCTGTGAGTCTTATTCATTCAATTTAACCATTATACTGATAGAATTATTAACGTAGGAAAACCATTTGTTGATGAAAATAGATAAGGCATAAGGATAAGAACACATACATTATCAGTATAACTCTCTTAAATTGACTCAGAAACAGTAGAAAAATGTATCCCCAAATTTACAAATTTGCCCATATATTTTGGCTCAGTATTTCCATTTTGAAGAAGGTACTCCAATAAAAAATAGAAGAGCAATTTGTAATTTATTATCTTGTAATTTATTACAAAATAACATATACTCATAGCAATGGCTAATAACATGAATAAAGAAAATAGCACAAATGTCCAACAACTCAGTACTGTCTGTATGTCAGTCATATTTTTCTTGTTAGTATCTTAACAAAATAGACTGTTCCATAGCCATAAAAAGTTACAAGTATGTTGACTCTGTTTCCATGTGAAAATGTGTGTATAAATTACTTTTTAAGTGAAAAGGTAGAAAACATAGCCTGTTTACTCTGAACAAATCAGAAGTACAGGTGCATAAATGAACAAGTTCAGAAAAAAATGGGCAACAATATTCAATAGTTTCTTTCTTCCTGTTGTTGTTTAAGAACTAGTGCCACTAGTTTAAAAGTAAAATGCTACCAGTGTTTGTGGGTTCTTGCTGAATATCTTTAAGCGAGAGCTCTATTTCAAAACTGAACACCAGAGACATTTTAGCATACCATTACCCGTATCTCATGAAACATGTTTTTGGGTGTGATTGAAATGTGTGGTGACTCTGCAAAAATGGTTCTTGAAAGTTGAAAGAGAAATATTTCAAAAAAGGGTGAAACAGAAAGATTTTGTTTCCTAGTTCATCAATAAGATAACTTAGTCTGTACACCTTAGGAGGAATGTGATCCTATTTTTTTAATGTGCTGTAGTCTTAAAAACTATTTTTTTCATATTAAGATGTATATCTGTTTGTTGTAATGTTAGCAGCCAGTGTGTATATGATATTTCAACAACTTAACAAATTTTACCTCATTCAAATCCTAGTTTAAAAGAATCAAATGAAATAATGTCATCTGCAGCAACATGGATAGACCTAGAGATTATTATACTAAGTGAAGTAAGTCAGAAAGAGAAAGACAAATATCACTTATATGTGGAATCTAAAATATGATACAAATCAACATATCTATGAAACAGAAACAGACTCACAGATATAGAGAATAGACTTGTGGTTGCCAAGGGGAAGGGTCTAGGGGAGGGAAGGATGGGAGTTTGGGATTAGCAGAGGCAAAATATTATATATAGGATGGATAAACAACAAGGTCTTACTGATATATTCAATATCTTGTGACAAATCATAATGGAAAAGAACATGAAAAAGAATATATATGTATGTATAACTGAGTCACTTTGCTGTACAGCAGTAATTAACACAACACTATAAATCAACTATACTTCAATAAAATGTTTTAAAAATTAAAAAAAAGAGAAGAATCAGGCTACTTTTTCCTCTTAGAAATCCAAAGAAACAACAGCAATGTCACCCAAGCAACAGAAGGCAGAAAACTGTGTCTGTTTCCCCTTCCAACAAGTCAACTCCAGAACAGTGTTTATTTCTAGTTATCTAATGGCCACCTCATATAGCAGTAACCATGGTTCCCACAGAGGCTTATAAAGAAAACACAAAAGGAAAGCAAATGAACCCCTCATCTCTCTCACTGGGATCATGCCACCAAAAGATATAGGAGTTTGTGTTCCCCATTGCTCCTGACATGTAATAGTTCTTGTTCACTTCTAAAGCTAAACACAATCCTCTAAGAAATGATAACCTGTAATAATTTCAAAACCCTTTAATAATTTGTTTTGATTTACGTACCGCGAGGTTTTCACAAAACTTCCAGTATATTGGAGGTAAAAGTTCCCAGCGTTCTTCCTCATTCCTATTTAATACAGCTACACAGCATGAACTTCTAGCATCATGTGATTTGCCTATTCTTTCTTCCATGAGAGTCTCAAGGCAACGACAGAGCATCTTCCCATCCTAACTTCTTCACTGTTCTAGAGCAGAGCCCACCAAAATGGTACATTATTACATAGATGACTTGTAACTCTTTTTGAAATCGCAACTAAGACAGACCAGGAGTTCATGTACTTTTTTCTCAAATATTCTATAGGTAGATAGGGAAATACAACTAGTACTGTGTTTCCTCGTAGTTTAAAAAATTTCTTAAAGCAAAGTGATTGATACTTTATTCATATTCTTTTCCATTTTGGTCTATTACAAGATATTGAATATAGTTCCCTTTTCTACACAATAGGACCTTGT